TATCTTCTTCTTGCATACACATTACCACCACTCTTGAAACTATCTAGGCTTTGCTCACTATTGGCCATCGAAAAATCATCCTAGGCGCATGCTATCGTTCCCCTTCGTCGTCCGTTAACGAACTCCACAACGTTATGAACCACATCGTAACACGTTTCCCCAGTTATTCCTTATTTTTACTCGGCGACTTTAACTTTCCGAACATAAATTGGACTACACAACCAGCTTCCATTTCTCCTTTTTCGACACAAGCTTCTGAGTTTTTAACTGTTGCTCTATCTTTTCTCTAACGCAATTAGTAGATCATTCAACTAGAATATTATCTCACGCAGCTAACACTCTTGACTTAATCCTAATTACGCGGCCCGATTTTACTTCCAACATAACGTACGTGCCCGGAATCAGCGATCATTCTCTTCTCAGTTTTTCTTTTAATGCATCATTCCCAAAAGTTTTAAGCAACAAAAAAGTAATTCGTGACTACAAAAAGGCAAACTTTCAGGCTATTAATCACGAGTTATCCATCTTTCTTGATACTTTTTGGCAAACTTCGATGATCATTCTGTTCAAACTAACTGGGACATATTTGCGTGTAAAGTTTACGATCTAACAGAAAAATTCATACCGAAACGCACTATCACGTGTAATCATCGCGCCCCGTGGTACAACGCCCACTTGAAAAGGCTGTCTAACTATAAGAAGCGCCTTTATCGTTCTGCCAGGAAATCGCCAACTGATTCCCGATGGGAAGCTTACAGATTAGCATCGAACGCTTACATATCTGCACTAAAAGCTGCTAAATCTTCATTTTTATCCCAAACCTTGCCATCCATGCTTAATACTAACGCTAGAAAGTTTTGGAAAGTCATAAATACGCCACATGATAGCAGTATTTACTTAGAAGACGCATCGGGCAATTCCATTTCCTTGAGTGATCGTGCGGCTGTGCTCAATGATACATTCACGAAAAACTTTTCTGTTCCTTCCACAATTAATACTCCTAGCGTGCAGACATATAATTTTCCTGTAATGTCCTCCATCTGTTGATTGCTGCTAAGTTGATTGATGGACTTAAATACCATTCTTCTCCATGTTACCATTTAATAGACTCAAAGTTTTTGAAGAATACAAGTTCATTTAGTTCTATTATTTTAACAAAAATATTCCAGCAATCACTTAACACATCTACGCTACCCATACAATGGAAAATAGGTAAGGTGGTTCCACTCTTCAAATCTGGCCAAAAAACGTCCCCCGCAAGTTACCACCCTATATCTTTAACTAGTACCTGCTATAAACTACTGGAACATATCATATTCTCACATTTAGTCAATTTCCTTGAATCAAATTTGTTTTTTACATCTGCACAGCACGGTTTTCGCAAATCGCTCTCATGCGAAACACAGTTAATATCTTTTACTCACAAGCTACATCGCATTTTAGACCAATCATCAAAAGCTGACTGTGTTTATTTAGACTTTTCCAAAGCCATTGACAAGGTATGCCACAAGCTGCTACTACACAAACTAAGCAAACTCCAACTTGATGACACCATAATGAAGTGGATTGTATGTTTCCTTAAAAATCGCTCGCAATTTGTTTCAGATAATAATCATAACTCTTCACTCAGCCAGGTTTCCTCTGGTGTCCCCCAGGGATCTGTTCTTGGACCTCTTTTATTTCTTATTTACATTAACGATCTGCCTTCTCTTATATCCTCTAATGTTCATTTGTTTGCCGACGACTGCGTAATTTTTCGGGAAATAACTGCTGACAACAACTCCTACTCTCTCCAATCAGATCTAACTAGTGTAAGCAACTGGTGCAAAGAATGGTTAATGGAACTTAATGTCACTAAATGTAAAGTAATGCGTGTATCGAGAACTACTAGTCGTATGCCTATATATTACCTGAAAAATACACCACTTGAAATCGTTTCCTCTCACAAGTACTTAGGTGTTCATATTACCAACAGTTTAACTTGAACGAAACACATAGAATACATTATTAACAAGGCAAACCGCATGCTAGGTTATTTACGTCGAAACTTTTTTTCAGCCCCGTCTTCTTTCAAACTTCTTCTATACAAAACACTAATCAGATCAAAACTAGAGTACGCAACACCAGTATGGGATCCTTGCCACGACAACTTACTCACCGCACTTGAACTTGTTCAGAATAATTCAGCCCGTTTCATTCTATTAAATTACAATAGAACGGCAAGTGTAACGGCAATGAAAAGTAGTATTGACCTCTTATCTTCAGCATCACGACGTCGCATTTTTCGCCGAACTTTATTTCATAAGGTTTATTACCATGCTGAACTGCTTTCACAACCTCAGTACATATCATGTTGAATTGACCATAATCATAGAGTTGGAGTTATTTCATCTAACACTAAATATTTTGCTCAGTCTTTCATTCCAAAAACATCCCGAGAGTGGAACCACCTTCCCGCCGATGTTGTTTCCATACGCGTTAATCACCTGTTTCATCAAGCATTAGCTAATATTGTATAATCAGGATAATCTATGTTTTTTCTATTTAAACACATGCTCTGTTTTTTCTATGTTTTGTACATCTTGTTACTCCCACTCCCCTCTTCAATGCCCATGGCCTTTGGGGTATAATAATAAATAAATAAATAAATAAATAAATATTGCAACTTTTTGTCGAGTCCAAAAACAAAAATAAAATGCGTAACCTATCAGAGTCTTGAAAGTGTAGTATTTTGACACTAACGAAAACACTGTATCATTATAATTTGTCAAACCAGCAATACTATATAAATTCTTTAGTGTGACACAGTTTCACTTGGGTGCCTAGTGTTTGAAGTGCCATCCACCGTATTAACCGGAATTTAAGTCTAGATATTTCCAACAAAACAACGAGCTAAAGTCACCGCTCGTCTTATGTAGCAGTGTATAGCCGACTGTGAACCGCTGTCTGGTGACATGTGCCTTGCATGTGCATGAGAAGCTGGGCACGTCTATATTCGCATTCAAATCCAATAGCAGGTTGTTATTTTCTCTTGTCTGTTTTTTGTGTTGGTTACTTTGCCCCCGATCCGTTCTAAGTTCTCGCTCTGCTACATAATGTGTTTTATTTTTAATGGTATTTTTTATTCACTGAATATGAGTAGTGGTACGAGACGGCAGTACTCAGCTGCGTTTAAACCAGAGGTTGTTGAGTTTGCAGAAGCGAATGGGAATATGGCTGCTCAGCACCGCTTATGTGTATCAACAAAAAAAAAAAGCTTGCGCTATTGGAGGGTGCATGAAAGGGAAGCTGGAGATGTGCAATCTTCGGAAAACGTAATTTCGTGAGACAAGTGCGGTTCATCCTGCAGCTGGAAAATACGCTAGGGAACATTGTGTGGGAAGTTCATGCGTGCTCACTGCCAGTGACTGTGTATACCATTCGCAAGAAAGCTGTGAAACTCGCTCGGGAAGCTGGGCTCACGAGAGAAGAGTTTTGTGCAACTCTTGGGTGCGTCGATTCATGAGATACAAAGGATGTTCTTTCCGGTGGCGCACAGCCATCTTTCAGAAGCTTCCAGATGAGTTTGAGGACAAGCTTTAAACTTTCAGGGCTTCGTGAACCGGCTTCAGGAGCAGAACAACTACACAATGGGGCAGATTGACAATGCTGATGAGACCCCCGTCTGGTTTGACATGCCTTTATCGACCATGATCATGCAGCGTGCCGCCAAGAATAAGAATCTGTTGTCCCCTGGCAACGAGCACTCGTGCTTCACCGTCTTTCTGGCATGCATGGCAGATGGTAGAAAGCTTCCACCCTTCATCATGTTCAATTGTAAGACAGTACCGAAGGAAGTGTTTCCGACCCGGTATGGTCGTTCACGTCAACAAACAGGGATACATGGACGAGGCCATGATGCTCGAATGGATACGAGTAGTCTGGAACTGTCAGCCAGGCGCACTGCTGCATCTTTGCAGCATGCTGGTGTTAGATGCGTTTTGTGGTAACTTAACTGACGCTGTGAAGCGCACACTGGGCGATGGAAAAATGAACCTCGCCGTGATACCAGGTGGTATTACGTCCACCCTCCAACCGATCGACGTTGTGCTAAAGAAGCCGTTCAAGGACCGAGTGCAGCTGGAGTACCAAAAGTGGGTGTGCGGTGACAACACAAAGACACTGACGGGCCGCCTACATAGGGCTCCGCTTGTGACTGTTTGTGGCTGGGTGCTTTCCGCCTGGCGTTCCTTGCCAGATTACATGGTGGAAATATATTTAAGAAATGTTACATCAGCAAATCGCTGTATGGCACGGAAGACAACGCACTGTGAGAAGCGGCCAGTGACAAACTCTCATCTTCTGAAGACAGTGGTGCTTCGTCTGACGAATACGAACAGTTTCGATGGTGGTGGAGGGGAGCTCCGACGATCGAAGTGCGGTGTGCCCGATTCGCAAATAAATGTCGTTCAGCCATTTCAGGTTGTTGTCTTTTTTGTCTTTTTCGGTAACCTGAACTTAGGAGGTCGACCTATTTTCCCATTCGACCTATAGTCCGGTATACGGTAGGCAACACAAAATTATTTTGCAAAATATAATGGCTCAATAACTACTACTCGCATTCACTTATACCTGCACAAAGCCTTTTAGCATGATCGGAGATGGTCGAAAATTGTCCGGGTACGCTTGATATGAATGACCCAATACATTTGACATGGCCACCGAAACAGTTGGGACACTTGGCTTAGAATAACCCAAGTGTTAGCTTTAAATAAACACATAACACCTGTCTGTGAAAATCGCTTTACAAACAAATATTGCACGAGAAATGAAAAAAAAACAACGTTGAGCAGCAACAAACTATCATGTGCTTCTTGAAAAAGACATCCTTATAAGGAAAGAAAATAGGAATGTAGAATGTAGTTCAATTTTGCTGGCATGCAATGACACAAGCCACTCATGCGTTAAATGGCACAATTTAAAGGTGAACATATTCGACAGAAATTTGTCTGGCTGGGTCTTTAGGGCTAAAGTGGCTGGTGAACTTTATTTTTCATATATATGGAAAAACGCAGAATGTTTGAAATTCGAGGTAGTCTCATTCTCACATTTCAGTGCATTCTACCTGTGATACTTTATTAGAGCAGGTTGGGACTGCCTAAGGTCTCTCTCACCATCTGCATATAACACAGTTTACAGATTAGGTGAGGTCCACAAAAAAACAATATTTCAATTAGAAACTTCAAGATCGTTCATTGTTGCTTGAAATGGCCTTTCCACAAGCGTACTTCGCGTCTTGAAGGTTGCAGCCTTGAAGAAGACAAGTTTACTTGTCAAAACGTTTGCTCAAGTGACACTCCACATTCTCGAATTTTCCATCTGTATCTCTCCAAGAACTTTTGCCTTTATTAGCAAGCTAAGGTGCACAAGGCATGTTATGAGCAAAACATTTCTATATGACATACTCACCAATGACAGCGATAGGAGGTGTTGCTGACATCTTCTTCAGGCTCTCTTCACCCGCACGCTGGGAATTCGCAAGTGAAAAATCAGTTAGACTCGGGAGAAAAATTGTAGTAACTTCACATACCTATCTGAATCACACATTTTAACCAAACTCTAAGGGCAGCCTTGCATTGTTTAACATAAGCAGCTGATAATGCAGTTCATATTGCAACCCTACAAACTGTCCAAGGGGAGCAAATACACGACAAAATAAAAGATGAAAAGAAGACGACATTTCGACTTTCATAAAGGCCTCCTGCGCAATAAGGACAAGCAACTGTGGCTTGGGTGCATAAGGAGAGCTTGTCATGGGCTTATAGCGCAGGTATTATAACGAAGAGATGAAAAGGAAAAACAAAAAGTGCTTACAAAGCATCTTCATCAGGTACTCTCAATGTATTCAGTGGTAGATAATATGATACGGTGTGGCTAGGGTTACGTCCAGACGTAACTGTAAGCACCGCAATTGTAACGTCCAGACGTAGCTATAGCCACCACAATTGTTACGTCCAGACGTAACTATGGCCAACGGTAGCGCTACGTCCAGACATATCTATGGCCACTGCTTGTGTTACGTTCACGGTCCCACGGCGACGTTTGCATCTGCTACGGTAACGTTTGGCACTGCCGCTCGCTGAATTAAGCAGTCATAAGCTGATATTTACTGATTTAGCGGAATCACTTCTGTTCTGAAAGCTGCGTTGTTTATTGTGCCGAACGTTTTCGCGTATCAGCAGCTCTGTTGAGACAGACCAGCTGACCAACTTTTGGAAGACGTTGCCGGTACCACTCCACCGTATTGGTTGCTGCCTTTTCGTTAGCTTCCTTCAAGTGGTCAACAAAATAAAAAGTTTCTACTAAAGCTTGAACCAACGGCCTAACCGTCCTGCACGTGCATCATTAGCTCACTACGCCACTGCTGCCGATCAGTTTGGTGGATTTAACAAGCCAGTTTTGTATTGTTGTCACGCTGGACGTAACTCTATGTCTTATTTTTACGTCTTGACGTAACTTTAACGGCTTCTGTCGTTACGTCTAGAAGTAGCTTTTGCGAAAGGTAGAAGTTACGTCCAGCCGTAACGATGATTAGCTGCTAAGGTGACGTCCGTCGTATGGTTCACAATATGCACTTGAGTTTGGGAATCACTTGGCAGTCTCGCAGGTTTGCTCATGTGTCGAAAGTGCGCGATAAGTGCATAAACACGCGCTAATGCTCCTCGTAGGCTCACGCTTCCTTTTTCTTGTTTTTCACAGAAAGATGACTTTTCTTTTTTTCTCATTAGACGAGCTAACACCTGAAAATTGCTGCAGGTGGTTCAGCCTTGTCACGAAAGCACCTCCCAAGGCGGTGGTTTCGGGCAAACTCCAACGATGCATATGCACGTCGCTCGAATGCATACTGCAAGTAGAGAATTCGCAGACGCGCGAAAGAAGTCAACTCCACAACCCGCAAAAACTAGCGCTTGCTTCTTCGCTGCTCCTGAACTAGGTGACCATGGAGAGCCGAAGGATGTAAACAGATGAAAGAAGTATGTAAGCACACTCACCGTGCACCTGGGTTTAGGCTGGACGGTCGAGCAGAACGCGCATTACACTAGCCCTCGGTCTTTCCAGTACACCACGCAAAAATAAAACAAAATGGCACACCAAGCTGCAGGCTTCTTCCCGCCTCGAAAAAAAAAAAACCCGCACAAAGGTCGAAGAAACACGAAGGAACAGGTTTGCAATGCATATGCACCGGTTTTCTCAGCTGTTCCTCTCGCTCTCTGGCCCTGCAGAGGAGGCTCCTTTCCGCTGTCTAGTGGAGGGGTGACCTCAAAGGGGCGCGAGAGAGAGTGAGGTGTCACATGACGTGTGGTAGCGAACTGAAGTGCACTGGAAGCTTTTCTCTCTTTCTGTCTTTCATCCCTCTTTCTCTCCGCTCGCTAAAAACAATGGAGCCCCCATCCTTTTCGTTTGACGCCGATGACTCATCAAAATCGATGAAGAGATGGTTCTCAAAATGACGGCCCGTTTTACAGTGTGCAGTGGCACACTGTAAAACGTTCGTCACTTCCGTCAAGCCACACTGTACGTCATACACACACAATGTTGCCATTCATTCTTGCAAGCGAGGTGAGCGTTTTGAAGCAAGCTATAAATTTATTGTCAAAATCTGCGAAACTCTCTGGCCTGCCATTCGGCATGAATAACGCAAACGTGCAAATGAACGTACCCAGTGATTTTTATTGAGATCCACTGACCTCAAAAATCACCAAAGTTAGCCTTAATGCAGTTAAAGATCCCTCACTGAAGTAAGGAGCGTTTCAAAATACGGCCCTAAGTTGTTTGTTGAAGGAAAGGTTGTCTTTGTAACACAGTATGTCTTCACAAATAATGCCGTCGTCTGTGAATCGCTTAATGTTGCATTCGGAGTTAGTGATAATGTCGTCACAGGCGTTATCACTTTATCGCTTTATGTTGCATTCCGAGTTAGTGATAATGCCGCTAGTGATAATGCGTACCCTTTCACGGCACACAGGGGAGGATAAGTCAGTGCAGCGTCTCCTCCTTATCGGTGCCGTCGGTGTAGCAAAAGAAAAAGTGAGGACATACAAATGGCGCTTGGAGTGGACTATCTAGGCTACCAAGCGTGGAGGTGAGGAGGAGCTTGCACGGCGGCACGAATGACCTTACTTTAGTTATTTCTAAACTTTACACCAACATAGCACTGGTCCATCAGCATTATGGCATATGACTGCATAACGTTTGGCACTGTTGCACCAAATTAACCGGTTTTATCAGAGAAATATCAAGATAACACGTGCTGCCGAGAACCTTAGTTGTGGTACAACGTTGTGAATGCTCGAGAACAGAAGTAGAGTGACTGCCGTGCTAGGGCCCCTTGCGTATTACGTCGTGTGAATACCTCCTATATAGACGGGCCCTTGCCCTGCAGTGGGCATAGTCAGGGTGAGGATGATGGATACCTCCTATTTGCTAGAATAAGGCAGTATTTTAGCAGATAAGGATTATTAGTAAGCACGCTACCTAGATGAATAAATTATTATTTTGTAACCACAATTTTATCTCAGCAAAAGGTGAAATCCAGTAGTTTTGCACGTGGTCACCCAAAAGGCTGTGGCATTCGGATATTTCACTACTGCATGCTCACTTTCTTTGCTTTTCTAGAACTCGTGGTTGGTCCATGTTTCCACCTCAATTGAAAAGCTTTGAAAACAAATGTTTCAATTTGAAGTCACCTGCTAGCATTTCTCAGTGTGCTGCTGATGAAGATGGCAGCCTAAGTCTACTATCATCCGCTGTGGTAAGCGTTTTGATGACACTGTGACGCTGCAGCATTCCATAAACAGTACGATTGCCTCATCCAAAGACATACACACACACACCAAGAGGCTTGCCTCTTACTGGTCTGAGTGCTGCAATAGAATACTTGATGCTTTGGACCTGTGAGATGCAGTGGAAGACTAGTATTTTCTTTCTAAAATTACCTTATGCAGGTGTAATGTTTACCAGTGAATCAGGTTTGTATGTGTAAAATAGCATGGTAGAAGAGTAAAATACCAATCTTGCATCATGTTATGCAAACTGCACAAGTCTTCCCAGCTATCACAAAGTGCTCCACCATAATTCTTCTCTATCTTCGGGCACAGCATGAATAACAAGCACATAAACCATTAGAAATCTGAAATAGATATTTCGCTTCTCCATAAAATGATGAATGAAAGCGCAGTGGTTGGTTCTTTACTTCACAAAAATTTTAATAATTTATAACATGTTACGCTGTACTAAAATCCGATTTTCTATCCACGGAGTGCTGCACAGAGAGTGGCACTCACGATTACTTCAAATGCATTATTGGCAAAAAATGAATCATGGTTTACCTAGAAAAGCACATGGCAGCGTGACTTTGCTGTAACGCAGCTAACACGTTTTTTTATTGCTTTTTTTAAATTTTTCTCGTAAAGACTACCCGTTTTTGGGCACCCAATACGGCTTTCGTGTGGCACAGGACTGACGTTTATCTTGTAACATGTTTGATTAGAATCCGAGAAAAGTCTGCCCAATAAATTCGTCTGCCACACGCTCGAGAATTTCGCTCGCCTTTTTCGTTATCCAGAACACAGAGCGACAGTTAATTATTAGCAATAAAACGAGCACAAACCTGTTGCTGCTGGTTTCGCGACTGATCTGCGCTCTCTCGGTAATCCGAAATCAGCTTGCACCTACGCTTGTTTACTTTCATACTCGTACTAAACATTACCTGGTTAGCGAAACCTTAATTTGCCACCATACATCACAAAAAAACTACAAATTTGTACATGAAAATGCCACATGAGTCTTCTGCGCGCGTGCGCAGATACCATATTTACGTACTCTTTTCAAATTCTGTGCTTGGAAGTTTGTGCCAATGATGATGCCAATGCGTTTTTTCACACTTTTAAACTTTTTGCTGCTGATTGAAACAATAAAGTCTTTGTGACTATAAAACGACTTATTTTATCATTTATTAGTATCCATATATTGCGCAGCATTTCAGAAATGTATAAGTAAATAAAAAAACTCAGCTTTTTACATATTGCCACTTGGCCGCTAGTTACGGTGAGCGCAAGCCATGGCTGCCCGCGAGAACGGAAGATGATGTTCTGGGGCAGCGCGCGCTATGGCTAGTTGTTGATTACTGAGGCAGCCACCTTGCCAGTTTTTGGTGCGTTTTCCTGCTGGCTCAGTTCTTCTTAGTTGAAGACCTTTTGTAGCACGTCACAACTGGTGGAGATGCTGGGTAACCCCTAGTCGATGTTCCAAACGCCTCCAGAAAGCCCTGTACCTGCAGTGACAACACCTGTTTACCGCTCAAGCCGAAGACTCTAAGGACTACCTCCTGAGCATGGACCTCTTTCCGAGATGACGCCTGTCACACCCCCGAACGCTAGGGAAGGTGCTGCAGCAAGGTCAAACGCACAGGAAAGCGCTGCAGCCACGCATCATACGCTGCGGAAGCCATGTGTGCCGAAGGTGTTCCATGGTTTCGTCTTGGAGGATGTCGAAGACTGGCTGGCTCAGTTCGAACGGGTTTCGGATTACAATGGTTAGACCGACTTCGACAAAATGAGAAACGTGAATTTCAGCTTGGAGGATGGCGCTCGTACTTGGTATGAAAACTGTGAGCTTTTTCTTTCGTAAAGCACCTTTTGTCGATAATTGCTGGCAAGTTGGGCCAATCTCGATCGCCGTGAACGAGCCGATCGAGCGATTGAGTCGCGCCTCCAAATGCGGAATGAAAGTGTCATGATGTACGTCAAGGACATGACGAGCCTTTTTCTTCGAGCCGACCCCGACATGGCAGAAGAAACGAAGGTCCGTCATTTAATGCGAGCAGTGAAGGAGCAGCTTTTGGCCGGCCTTATTCGCTGTCGCTCAAAGCCCATGGCGGAATTTTTGACCGAAACCAGAACCATGGAGTAAGTGTTGCAGCAGCGCTCTACTGTGTACGAACCAGCAAGTGAGTGCCGCTTCGTCAATGTGTCAGATCGGAGGTGTGGAAAGAAACATCAGCATCGAGTCTCTCTGCGACCTCATTCGATCGGTGGTACGCGACAAACTACAAAAGATTCAGTGCCAGTCCCAACCTACTGCAGGGTCGATTTGCAGCCTTGTCAAAAATGAAGTACGACAGACCCTCCAAGTGCCGCCTTCCAGCTATGATCCGCCTGTCCCGATGGAGCCATATCGGCTTCACACGCAGAAGCTGTAAGCCAATATATTCCTGTTTCACCACGCTTCGTTAATCCTATGCCTCAGGATTCACTTTCTTCGCTGCAGCCAGTTCAGCACTTGGAAAATCGACAGCCGCTTCCCGGAAAATCCGACGTATGGCGCACACCGGACAGGCAACCACTGTGTTATCACTGTGGTGAAGCTATACACGTGTACCGGAAATGTCCCTATCGTTGCCTCAGACTACATGCCGTCGACACACCACGGCAGAGAATTGGCGAAAGACCGAGAGCTATTGAAAATTACCTCTCACAGCAGCGCATGCCACTGCGGCGGCAGTCGCGGTCCCCATCCCCAAGGTGATTTCCAAATTTTCGGAGCCTCGCAGGGGCTGCACCGGCGCGCTCGCCAAGCCGTAGGCGGGAAAACTAACGACAGTAACCTTCGGGACCGAGGCCGCTGATACTCGACGCAAGCAAGGCCTCCCACCGACGGAAGCACGGACAAGGTTACACTCACCGACGACAACGACGAAAGCCAAAAGCACATTTTCTTTGGATATACATGTGGTAGTCGATGGTCACCATGACGTTAGTGCATTATTGGACACAGGTGCGGACTACTTGATCATAAGCGCGAAACGAGCAACACTCATAAAGAAAGTTGTTACGCCTTGGTACGAAGCCCAAATTCGTACTGCCGGTGGGCACGTAGTCACCCCAATCAGCATGTGCACTATCACAGTGAGAATTAGGGGACGTAGGTTTCTCGCCAGCTGCCTCGTAATTCGTGACTGTTCCCGAGACCTAATCCTAGGAGTTGACTTTTTGGAAAGCACGGCGCTATTATCGATCTTCGAGAGCGTACCGTGACGTTTTCTACACCTCGATCCTCCGACAAATCTGACGACATCCGTGACAGCACGCTTCGCGTTTCTGCTGACAGCATCACGTTGCC